GTGGCACAGCGGTATGTCTGCGGACTTACAACGCTAGAATCCGGGTTTCGATACCCGTGGTGGGCAGAGCACAGATAGCCCATTGTGTAGCTTTGTGCTTAATTACAAACAAAATAACTCGAACTCACACCAAAATTACCTCAAATACAAAACGAAAAAAAAAAAAAGACAAACCACAGGCCATCTGGTGAGAGTCACAGAAACCAGAGATAGCATTCGACACTGTATGGCATAAGGGGTTAAAATACCAAATGTTAAAGATGAAACTACTCCAGCTCTCTAGCCAAAAGGTAGGCTAGATTTAATGCATCATGCAGCCAATCAGAGTACTTTACTTCGGAGGCAGGTGTCTCGCAAGGAGGGGTAATAAACCTTATTCTATTCATGATGTATGCCACTGTTAGATCCCCAATTCTACTTCTGCTCCCAGTTTTCTGATGATCTATACTTCAACAATAGCAGTGACAAATTTATAACCACGATTATATGAAGTAGAAAACTACTGTGACAAATGGAGATTTAAGATAAACGCCTCCAAAACACAAATAATATTATTCATCAAATCAAACAAGATGAGCTAAAAGTCCCCCAAATCATACCTTTATAGACCCCTTTTTCAGGTAGCCACATCAGCCAAATTTCTGGGCTTAATCTAGGATTCTAAGCTAAATTAAACTAAACATATAAACGAAATTAAAAGAAAAATCTGGCAAATAACTAATTACGTACGACGGCTGACTGGCAACAACAGGGGTGCAACAACCGAAAACATACTCAAAATTTATAAAACGTACATACGCCCAATGGTAGAGTATGCCAGTCTAGCATGGCATAATGTAACCAAATCACAAATATACAATTTACAGACAATCCCAAATTTAATATTCACTAAAACATACAGAGTTTCTAGATCATTTTCATACATAATTCTACAAACATCCCTACGTTGTCAGACAGATTTCAAAATAATTCGATAGATTACTCCCAGAAAAATCCAAATCAAAACACATCAATAACAAATCGGAAAAACTTTATACGTGATGAAAATAGACCTAAGTACCTCTCACCACTAAATCTAGAGAATTCATTTTATAACCTATGGCCACCTACTACTGGAAAACACGATAGGTAGATAGAGTGTTAACTGTATTTTAAAAATGTAAAAATGAGATTAGTATTTATGTTTCACCATCGGTATTTATGGAACTGTTTGTGTGAACAAACATTTATGTTGAAAACGAACAAAAGAAAAAGCGAAGGATTTACCAGAGAATAAGAGAAATCCACGTTGTACTTTCATGGAGATGGCCTTAAAAGGGCCACTCGCGTGTGCAAATGAACAATCGTACCGTGCATGCAGTGGCTGGATGATGTAATAACGGATATTCCCTAGCTACTGGACATAATTATATCAGAGAACTAGCGTGGGCTTCATCCGGGACATTCAAAAACTAAACCAATTGTCAAGGTGGGAGGTAGAGGTCCAGGATGTACCTGATTCTCCCAGGTAACTTGACCAAAACAACAATCAGTGCAAGACCTTTCTTAGCCAGAACAAAGTGAAAATCAAGTTTTGCACTCAGCAATTTCTGTTTATCAAACTAAACTACGAACATTATCTTGTCTATTTAAAAAGTTAATTTATGTTCAAAGAAAATGTCTTACAAATTAAAACCACCTGAAGTCAGACAACATTATTTACGACATCATTTTCGTCCAACAGGTAATGTGGAACATGTTTTTAAAACAATATTATGCACGAATAAAATAAATGTTAATGATAATTCATACGTTAAATCAACGTAGAAAGATTACAGTACACATACCAGTTCAATGTTTGCCCCTTAGTGGCACAGAGGTATGTCTGCAGACTTACAATGCTATAAATCGGTTTGCGATACACGTGGTTGGCAGAGCACAGATAGCCCATTGCGTAGCTTTGTGTAAATGACAAACAAACAAAAGTTCAATGTTTAAAGTGGTTTAGAAAAGGTGTGTGTGTGTGTGTGGGGGG